CCCCCCCCCAGTTTTCATGCCGTCCTGTCACGGTGACAGAAGTCAAGTAATCGAATCATGCGACGGCATAATAGACACTCGCAGATTTGCTCTCCCCGGCAGCCATTCTCCCCAGAGGCACCTCAAGAGATTGTTGTTACAAGATGCTGAAAGCATTGGCTCTAAAGACAAAACGGCTGGGGACCCCGAGATCCAGGCGTAGATGCCATAGGCCCCATCTGAAGTCGAGGAGTGGAGGTCTGATTGTGTAGCAGCCTAGGGAGCCGAAGCTGGGACGGGACGCCTCCCCGGGATCCTATGGCTGAGGATCTCACCAGCACGTCATCCCACTGGCCATAGTGGGACAGTATGATGGCATGGCTGTCGGGATGAGTCGAATACACGAAGACATCCTCCTCACCTCGCAAGGCACGTCTGAATAGCTCTCGGCATCTGCCCTCGCAGCTCACCTGCAGCCTCTTCCGAACCTCGGATCCCTTCGCAAACTGAGCCCAAGAACACCCTGAAACAGGCATTGGGGAAGCTTAGACCCCTTAGCAACCGGCGGTATCTGGTGCCTGAGTGGACCCGCAAGATTCGGCCGTGTGGACTTGGCACAAACTCGCCTCCGCGGAAGACACCTTGCACTGCAAGGAGATGCGGCAGATAACGTCCCGGGACTGGGCAACTGAGATGCCTTGGACCTTCGTCGGCCGATCCGATGTCCCGATCCAGTCATCTGAAGTTCCCATCCAAACCTGCTAACGATCGTGGCACTTCTCTCCATGTATTTCGCAGGCTCGCTCGTGCAGCATCTGGCTCGCGAGACTACTTTCTCCCGTGCCCATTCCCTGCTGCCTCACATGTTCCCGGGCCTGTACGTTGGACACGGCCTGCAAGGCCACGACCTGGAAGTGGGCTTTGAAGACCAGGCCATTGCCAAGGAAGCTATACGTTCCTCGGTGCATTTCAGCATGATGCGCCGCACAAGGTCTGCAGGTAAGAATGGACTCCAAGAGTCTGGTGAGCTGCACCTGTCGGCATGGCGTCTGCGAGTCTCATGAACGTGCATCACAGGGACGCACCGACAAAGGGCACGTTTGGAAGTCTTTCGGAGTTCGTTGCATGAGTGGTCATGGCCATGAAATTTCGGTGCCTGCGGTGTCCCAGACAATGATAACGCTCCACTTGCTCGGGCG